CCTACTTCAGACGTCGCCACTCTCTTACCACTCTACCCTGTACAGTACCCTGCTTGTGTCGCATGATGGTCTCCCTTTAGCCGGGTTCCTCTGAGTTGGGCTCTCCCTTTAGCCGGGTTCCTCTGAGTTGGGCTCTCCCTTGGTATACGCATAGGCATCGGGACCGTAGCATTGCCCTGACTTCCCATCTTACGGATCTAGCTCCGACTTCCCTCACTTTAGGAGTCATTTGCATGATTCCCTTACCCATCATCTTTCTACCCTTCGCTGACCCTCACGCCCTAGTTATGCAGCCTGCATGCTTCATCTAGGTGCGCCCAGTATACCAGGCTCCCTTGTTCCCTTGCTTGGTCGACCCTCCATAGCAGTCAACCCTCAGTCGAGCATTACCCGCCCTGATGGTTTATCTGTTAGGGTCATTGGTTCTGTTCGCTCCCAGTTCCCTACCCTCATTGAGCCTGATGACATATGTTTTCCCCTGTCACTATGTGTGGATGCCCTTAGGAGTTTTCGACCCCTAGGCTGCATTCGCCACCCTCAGAGACCATCCCACCCTTTGGTGTGCGACACACTTCTCATGTGACATATGGTTGTCTTGTTGATTGCTTTGTTGCTCTCAGACTGAGGCTACTGCCTCCGACATTTCTAGGATTAAGTTGCTCTGCTTTTGCTGTTCTTAGGACTTATACACTAGTCAGTTGTTACCAGAYTGAGGCTAGTGCCTCCAACATTCTAGGATCTAGTTGTCACTACTTTTTGYTTTCCTAGGAYATGTATGTTAGTTAGTTGCTCCTACTTTCACTTAGGCTGTTAGCTGTGACATTGCTKTTTTGTGACATTTTATATCCTAGGTTGCATCGCACGGACTCAGCATGGAGCTTGCTCCGCATCCTAGACTACTCAGGTTTTCTTTTCTTTGGTAGAGTTCCGCTTCTTGGCGGAAGCATGTTTGTATCTAGGCGATCCATCACAGGTCGAGGATTGTGTAGCAGACCTCGGGTTAGCCTGTGAGACCAGCCCCTTGGCCTGTTCTCACAGGCCTGTGTTATATTCGGGGTAGGCCAGTCCAGGCCGGTACCTCCGTCGGTACCAGCCAGTCCAGTCCAGTCCCGTCAGTCCACTGGGGTATATCCCAGCCATTGTCTGTTTTCAGTCTCATTCCTCACTCGCACATTTTGGAGTACGTGCGTTGGAGTCTTGCGTGGGGAGCTGCGTTGTGCCATCTTGCTCCCCTTTCTTCCTCCATCTTCATCTCTGTCACTAGCGGAGCACCACACCTGGTGGGTCCGCTACAACTTCAGAATATTTCATTCTGAAATTTCAGGTGGTCGTTAACCGCGAGTGCTTGCTTGACAAAATACAGGTCATCTCTTTTGCCAATTGCTATAAATGTCAACTTTATTCATTAAAAAAAACTACTCTCCTAGACTTCGAATATGTCATCGAACCCTTCCGACCTTTTGAGATTTGTTCATTACCTTTGAGTTTTTTCGACTTTTATATATTTGTTTCATACCGGATATGTTTTGACCAGGATAACGGTGAAAACTCATGCTTAGTGGTAATTAAACTTGTGGGCTAAATCTATAAAAAAAAAAGTGCTTATGGTTATCGTTTTTTGCTTTTTTGTACAAAGAGATCGACCTTCGCGTTTTCCATGCAACGATCATCGTTTTTATCGTGATAAGAGGTTTTGCATCGATCACACCATGACATGAGGGCTAAAAGTACTTCAAAGTAATAATCTTCTTGGTTCAAAATTTTCACCACAAAACGCGGTTTAACATGATATTTCACATTCACTTCGAAATTCAGCTTTACCGAACCCAATTTATGATTATTCTCATCCTTTTTTGTACGATAGACCTTTTTGACAACTCCAAATATGTTTTCCGCTACTGCTTAAAAAGTTGGCATAAAATGAAACGGAACCCGTAAACATATAATCCAAAAAAATTATAACAATGATATCGATGGCAAAAATTGAATCCTATATTATTTTTCCTAAGAGATAATTATTTAATTTTTCATCGAACATCAATTTTAATAGTGAAGTTAGATATAAAGGAGGTTATATTTTTCGCCTCGCTTTGATATATCCCCTTCTTGACCCTCGTCTCCAACACATCATACCAAACATTCTCATATACCATAATCAGTTTCTTCTTAAAACCGTTCGATAGGGTGACAACTTTCTTCAAAAACGTAATCGCAATAGAGTGTTTCCTTAACTATTTCATATTCAACTTATAAAATTATTCATTAAGGTCAATGTGAGCTTAGTCCTTCCCGATTTCGGCTACTCTTATAATAAGAAAAACGAGAGAATGCCAATTGCAAACAGGCATCCAAGAGCAAAAAAAAAAACTTTCAGAATTAAATAATCATTCTATAGTAAAATTACATATTAAATTTTAAATTTTCAGTCAATCTTCAAAACTGTCAGTCCACTTTTAAAATTTCCGTCTTACTTGAAAACTTTCCGTCAAAGAATGGGGTATCCCTACTTATTTGAACTGCATGCTAAAGATTAAATAAAAGTCTGGATAAATTCATAAAATATTTTAATTAGAATATCATTTTATATATAAATTTTGAATAATAAATAGGTTAATCCAATCTAAATTAGAAGATATTTGTTGTAGTAGAATGAAAGTTTAATTAAGATATTTCATTAATTAGTCAAGACTTTCATTCAATCTTCAACAAATAGATGTAGTTGGAAAGGAAACTCATTTTTAAACGAGAACTTATCAAATAAAACTGAAAAATTTTGAATTGGACAAACATTTGGATAAGAATTTTTAAATATGAAGATTTTTTTTTTTTTATAGTGAGGAGATTTGTTCCCTCCCCTCAAGGTGTACAATCTACGAACCTCTTGGTCCTCGTAAGCGTTATCTTCCAGGGGAGGGTGATTACCGCTCATTTCATCAGAAAATAAAAACGACCCATAATAATATGATATAATATGTATGTAATATCAAAGGTTTCTCGAATAACAAAATCCGTTTCAACACCCTGAATCACAATTCACAAAGGAATTAAGGTAAATAAATTGTACCTGAACAATATAACAGCGGACTCCCTATGTTAGAGTGAACAACTGCAGATTTAATCAGATCCTTGCAAGTCAATAGAGCCCAACGTCACTGACATCATTACACGAAAAACCTTATGGGTATGACAATATAACAGTGAACTCCCTATGTTGGAGTGAACAATTGCTAGGCTAACCAGACCATTTACGAGGGGAATCACCTAACCTCAAGAGGTTGTTCGCTGTCCTATGTGAGCAACAACTTTACCCCTCTAACCGCCATAGCAATGGGTATGGCAAGAAAACGACCCAATGACATCGTGTAGAAAACGCGATCGTTCCCACTCCCTCGAGACTTTCGAGGCGAGCTACGTGGCATGTACGAGCTGGTTGGGGCCTGGGACCTATTGCCTCCTCAGGCTGCGTGTTTTCTTTTTCAAAGAAATGTGTGGCATTAAACTCCTCGCCCCATGATCCGGTCTGCCTCAACTGCCCTTTTTCCGCTCGTATGACTTCTCCTTCCATGCCAAATTGCCTTTGCAATTCTTTTTGGGTTCTCTTTTTCTAAGGGCAGCAGATCCGACTTCAAAAACCCTCTTCCCCACTTGGGGGCAGTTTTGGCCTTCACCCATTGAGAAGAAAAAGGTGAGGCTAAAGTCAGACATGAAAGAGTGTCCTCCCGGAGATAAGAAAAAAAAAAGGCTAAAGTCAGGCAAAAAAGAGCAACATCCTTGAGATATAATCATGGAACTGACTGGCCTTAGCTAATTCAAACTTATTTGTATTAATTTGAGAATATCCTCGATGACTTGGCGATAAAGTTAAATGCTTGTCTACACTTATCAGTCTTGGAAAAACCAATATTACAATGGAAGCACCTATCTCTGATATAATAAAATACCTGATTTCATGTCACTCATCTGGACTCTAACTTAGGTTTATGTTCCACCAGCTCATGGGTGTACCCACGGAGCTATGGCCGTCGGTTGGGCACACAAGTGGCATACAGGAGCTTGTGGATTCTAGCCCCATGATTGTCTGCACTCGCTTAGTGCCAACCAGCTGTGATAATCCACTTGATCGCTCCGGTCGGGATTAGTAGTGCCTTTGATCAACAAGGGTGTGAGTGTGTGTGTGACTGGGTTCCGTGTGGTGTGTGGGAGAATGTTACTCGATTGGGGTTGGGGAAGATGACAAGGGAAGCGCAGCTACTGGCAAATGCTCCTTGTGATAGCCGAGCCCCCACCGGCCCCCACCGTTGGCCCCAACCCTGCACGCTATACCACAGGGGCGAGGGGCAACATGCAATCCCTTCATAGCAGCAGAGCTATGCTTGCAGAAGTCCCCTGTATAGCCTTAGCAGTAGTGGTAGGTAGTGAAAGGTGAATTGAGAGAAAAAAAAGGAGGAAAAAACAAATATCGACCACAATGTCCACAGTGGCAGCTGGCAGTGGGGGACAGAACTGTAGGGGGTGACTGGGGCACTACTACTTGTGGTAGTCGCTACAAGTGCAAGGGATGAATGGCAACGTCACTGCCGCAGACGCGAGAAATGCCCGGAATGTGCCGACAAACAGGCAAAACGGAAAACGTCTACGTGGTTTTCTGTCTGGCGGGGGCATTTTCCGAATCAGGATATTTTTTGTTCTGCGGTGGTCAATTCGTATGACGAGCCAGCTATGGGCTGGGCTGGTGCTGCCCCCGGAATGCGCGGGACGAACGACCCCGCCGTGAAGCACGGGAACTGCGGACCGCGGGGTCAAAAAAGGTCACTCAGGAGGGTGTCTCGGGCAGTATACTCACATCGTGCTTTCCTAAATGCATCTGACTGTAATTAGGGCCGGATCTGGATGAATCTGACGGCAATCACGTCCAGAGCTTTGTAGGAAAAAGTCCTACTCTGAGTATGCCCGCCGTGGTTCTTTTCCGCATGAGATGATTTTGTCCGCGATTCGGTGAATCACAGTATCAGCGATGGGCGGGAGATCGGCTATGGGCGGACACGCAGGTGGCGGGTCGAACGGTTCTTTTCGTTCTTCGTTTCCCCGCTTTCAAAAAAAGTGAAACCTCTGGACACTAGACATCCACGAGAGGGCGGGGTGTCCCTGGTATTACCGATGATGCCATCGCCATGGGCGGGAAGATGGTTGGGGGGTTACTCCCGATATAACCGATGATGCCTCGGCCATCTTACGCCGAGAGAGAGAGAGAGAGAGAGAGAGAGAGAGAGAGAGAGAGAGAGAGAGAGTCCTGAGAGATGTTGGTAAGGCTTAGGGTGTCGTCTTACGCGCACATCAGAGGGAGTGGTAGCTCGACTGCTAGGCGCGCCAGGCGTGAGCGCCGTTGGCGTCGGACTCAGCTCCATTTGCCTCCTTTTTTCAGCTGTGCACTAAGTTGGTGGAGTCGGACTTGTCGCGGGCGCCACAGCCGACTTCTATTCTCCCACTGCTGCAGTCTTAGCGGGTGTGACACTCGTTGTCATCGTCGCCTTCGCTCTTGATTGCCATCGCCAGAAAAAAACCATGAGGAAGAGGAAAAAGCTCTGTGGGTTAACCGAAACCGAAGTGACGTCACTTCTTCAGAGGTAAGTAGGACAACTGGGTAGAAGAAACACTTGACTCTCCTCCTCCTCCTCTTCCGCCGCTTTTCCTCCTTTCGTCTTCCTTCTTCCTTCCTCCTCCTTTTTTTTTCTTTCTTCTTCTTCGTCCTCTTCTTCTGGCTTGTGGGAGGATCGTAGGTGGTGCCGTAGAGCAGAGTAAGGGTATGCTGGGCCTTCACGAGACCAGAGGGCAGCCGGTCGAAGCGCGTTGGGGAAAGTGCATGTTCTCTGGCACCACGTACCTGTTCTGGGACTAAGGGCATGCGAGTGTGAAACGTTTTGTAGACAGCAATGCATGGTCAGAAGCATCTTCGCCATCGCTTGTCACCATTCTCCTCCTTTTTTTTTTTTCATCTTCTTGTTCTTGCTTTTATTCTTTCTTGTCTTCCGGTTTGCAGTTTGGCTGTCTCAAACTGTTCCCTGCCTCCGCTTCCTGCTCTTGCGGTTTTGCAGTTTGGCTGTTGCGGACTTTCCCCTCTCTCCCATCGGGGAGAGAGAGAACCGCGTACTCCTCAAACTGTTCCCTGCCTCCGCTTCCTGCTCTTGCGGTTTTGCAGTGTTGCGGACTTTCCCCTCTCTCCCATCGGGGAGAGAGAGAACCGCGTACTCCTTGCCTGCGGAGCGACAGGGATTCATGTACGTGTCAGAATGAAGAAAACGGGTAATCCATGTTGCGCCTCAGAAAGACGAAAACGGATAATCTATGGGCTTCGCTCCACTACTCACTACATGCACAAAAGACAAAAGATATGGCGGGGTATCTTTCCATGTTCTTGCAGAAGATTCATTCTCACTTGTCACATTTGGTGAGTAGTGGAGCGAGGCGCTATGTATGGCTCAGAATGCAGAAAACGAAATTCTTTGTATCAGCGAAGGAAGTGTACCTGCACAGTTGTAGATTCCCCGACGTACTTCGTCGCCATAGCCGTCGAGGTCATGGCCGTACTAATGAGCACCCATGTGAAAGAAGGCGAGCGTCAATGACTGCCGTTGCGTGCAACAGAAGAAACGCCGGTCCCTGCTTCTGCTCAGAGAACCGTCCTCAGCCTGCGCTAGCTGCTATTTCTTCCCCCGCGCCCCCCTCAGAAAAAAAAAACACCATTGTATTCCCACCCCCCCTTCACCACTCTTCCTGCATCGCTACCTTCGTACGCTATTCTCGCTCCCTTTCATTTTCTCTCCTTTTCAGTCAGGCGATGTGTGGGATTGGGGCTGAACTGTTGACCATGTGGCGTGTGGACTCCCCAACTGCTCCCTCCCTCTCTCTCCCTCTCTCTCCCTCTCTCTCCCTCTCTCTCCCTCTCTCTCCCTCTCTCGTCTATCTCTGTCTATCGTTCGCCGTGGCGACACTGCAAGTTTCTTAAAAAAGGTACAGCTTGGCTAGTTGCTCTGAGAGTCTAACGGCGCGCGCGCACACAAACGAATATATGCTCAGAGACAGAGAGAGAGAGACAGAGATAGATAGATAGATAGATAGATAGATAGATAGATAGAGATAGATAGATAGATAGATAGATAGATAGAGAGAGAGAGAGAGAGAGAGAGAGAGAGAG